ATAAGTCTACTGTATTTGTATTTATATCATCACTTCTGCCAGTGGCAGTCATAGCATTTTCCACTTTGTTTGTGAAATTAGAAATTATTTTTGGTAAGACTCTTAAAGTCTTAGTTCAATAGAGCCCAGTTTAGGGAACATCTTCAAGGACCTAGAACAGGGGGTGGGTCACAATAGTTTTAAAATTTGACTGTGGGGGAAAGGTCAGTATCACATGGATGGACAATTTTGGGTGTGAATAGATATAAATAAAATGAATAACACGAGAATTATATAAAAACAAGATTTTAAATAATAAAATACCATTTCAATTTGTTGGGAAGAGTGTTAATAGCCCCTGTGTTTCACCAGTGCACCAAAGTTTAGTGTTTGATTTATGACTTCTGAAGTGGAGAGATGAAAATGCAGATAATTCACTGCAATGCAAGAAAACAAATAAAATAAAATCAGTCTTTTCCATGAGAGGGGCAGTTATATACCAGAGTTATACTGGCCAGATTAGGACTAAATCTGGCCCACAGGCCTTAGTTTCCACCATGTCTGACCCAATGGCACACCCACCATGCAGCAGTTGAAGACCCAAAAAAAAAAAAATCTAATCCAACATTTGGAAACTGAGCTCCTCACATTTTGAGATTTTCTGCTGAGCTTTTCTACCAGAATGTTTTCCATCTTTTCACTCAACTCTGTGTCTCATTGTCTGTGTTCAGTGGAGCTGGAAAAGCAGTTTAACAAAGGGTTTTAGAGCAGAAACCAATGTGGAAAGAACTAACGAGCTGAGGAGACACAATGACTATGTCAATGTGAGATCAACCCCCGCTCACATAACCCACCATCATTGAATTGTTTGTTCCAGTGAAGAAATATTGATCAATAAAGCTTTAATTACATCTCGGATCTTTGACTCTGTTGAAGCTCTGATTGAGAATAAGATATATAAAAGTCAGAACTAACAACAGTCAATTATATTTAATATACAGTACAGTGTTTGTGCTAGTGTAATTAACCTAATTCAAACAATTAAGCCATCCAACCATCCATTCCCTGCCACCTAATCCCGTAGAGGGTCATTTGCTGGAGTCAATCCCAACAGTTATTAGGCGAAGACAAAGTGGGCCCTGGACATGACGGGGTCAGATATACTGTATAATAGAAACAGCCACTTTCACTCTCATTCATACATTACGTTTAGAGTCTTATTAAATTAAATTACAATCTGCACATTTTGGGACTGTTGAATGGAAGCCGTAGAAACCCATAAAAGTCCAACACACACATTGGAAAAACATTCAAAATACATACTGACAGACTGTCAGTAGAAACCCAGCTTGAATGAATGAATGGTCTTACCGTGTGACCATATGACCATGTGACCTGGTGTCAAAAACATTGCCAGAATTCTACAAAGAAGGAATTCTGTGATTGAAATGCTAAGTGTTTAAACTTGACTTGGAACTTTTTGACCTTGCCTCATATATGGATTGACAAAGAGGAAGTTGGATTCCAGCTAAGATTTTGCAAATTACTCTAGTCTCTGATATCGTTGGTATTTCTGTTTATTATTACGTCCATATTCCAGGAAAAGTCGTTCTTTTTCTATTTTTGATGGCGTTCCTTCTTGTCCGAGACAAAACAAAAACAACAAAAAAAACAATCTAAACCTGAGTCCTGATCTGTCCTCTCCTTAAAATCACCAGATCACTGGGGCCGTGGGGTCATGTTTATAATCCCACGACTACAATGAGATAGAAGAATTACAATACCACTGCAGTCCTAATCCAAAATCTTTCCTACTGTAGATAAAAAAAAACAACAACCATGAAATCTGGGATTAGATTGTTCCACTCTGCCGGTGCAGGGACATCTGCTACTCCATGTGTTTTTTATTTTTAATCCTCTTTCTTGCTCTATGTGTTTTCTGTCTTGTCGGTCACAGACGTGGTATCTCTCTTCTTCCTTCACTAAGTCCTACAAACAGCTCTTCTTATCAGGATGGATCAGCTGGAGAAGGCTCTATTCGAAAACTGTGGGGAGAAAAGTTTGGGATATAAAGAAGAAACCTGAAGTGGTGGGGGGTACTGCAATACTTCACCTCTCGGTGTCTGTGCTGCACTCAGTGAACATAGATTGGAGAAACAAAAACAAGCACACCTTTAGCTTGTAATCGCTAGCCATCACTAGCCTCTGGTTTTCCGGTTTTCATGTCTACATACGGCTCCTTTATCCCCGTAAAGACTCACACGCAGGCAATTGTTTCTAAACTCCTTGTGAACAAAAAGTCTTCCTAGCCAGGATTCACATTCATACAGGTTTAAATTGCCTGACAGTGAGACAACACCCTATCCATACAAATGTGTGTGGGTAAACCCATAGAGGCATCGCTGTGCAGAGCACGGACACCGAAAGCAATTCAGTCTATTTGTATACTCTGCCAGTGCGGCTACAGTGCATTCATTCACCCCCATAAGCCCTCCTTTACTCCTCCTCTCCCACCTGCTCCTTCCTTCCCCCTGACCTCCCCATTTCCCACTGATGACAACATCTACGCAAGACTAATGATAATCCATCCTGGCTACTGGCCATGATTTGGGATCAGTTTATAAGAGAGACAGCAGGGGAATTTTCACTTATTCTTTTCCACATTCCCCATAGCGTCTTTTACTCAACTGTCTTCAGCTTTCTGAGGAAAAAGACACCAGAGGGAGCCAAGATAAAAGACACTTTAGAGAGGAGAGAAGCAGCGAGCCCACATTCTATGCTACTAATAGCACTATTTTGAAGAAAGATTTGCTCCAAGCATGAGTGGGAGGAGGAAAATGAGGTTGGTGTCATCTTGTGGAGAAATATGAATCTTTTGATTAGATTTTGACCTGCTTTAAAAAACCTAATGTTATCCTGTATGGAGGTAAATGAGCATCGGCGGTAGGCGGGAAGGGTTCATGTTGGTAAAATGAGTCCTCACAAAAGACACTCATATAACAAAATTGATTTTTAATGCTATCACGGAATGGAATAAAAAAAAAGTCATACGGCCTAGGGAAATATCATTGATGGTGCTATACTTCCCTCTAGTGGTGAGAACTGCACTGTACGTTCATTCTCAGTTAAAGATTTATTTTGAAAAAATCAAAATAAAACGGAATCCACATGTTATAAAAGGAAATGAGGGGGTGATGTAGGATGGGGTGAACTAAGGAAAGAAAATCAAATCCTATGTCAATTATTTTTAACCTCTGGTCTTACTTTCTAAAATTAGCTGCCATATATTTGTGGCAGCTTCCAGATAAAAATGTAAATAACGCTAACCTGAGTGAATGTGTTTCGTTACAGTTTGCGTGAAGACGTCACAGAAATTTTGCATGTTGGTATTAAAAATGTGTTTAAATGATTAGTCTGTGACTGAGAAGTAACTTCCTTCAGGGTGTACTCGTGACCTTCAGGTTGTACTGTGTGTATACCACCATTAGGTGTCAACGTGCAACTTCATTTTGTCCACAAATATGGCTCCCTTCGCAACAGTAAAAATGAAAGTAGGATTCTGCATAGCAACGATTAGCATTAGCCCTTTAAGTTATCCAAATATCGAGCATCAGACTTGAATCCAAAGATTATTTTACATGCAGTTCATTATATTTAGTTATAGAATGTTGATATTTGTCATTTAAGTTTTGAAAAGTAAGATCGACTGGAATACATATTTTCAGTTCGTAGTATAATTACAAATCAACACAAAGAGTTTTTTATTCTAATTTCATGTAGTCTGTGAATCCATTGAGGCAAAATCTGTTTTGTGTACGCTATATGTGTACCAGAAGAAAATATACGTCACTATACTAGTTATTATACTTGTTTTGTTTATTAAACTAAAAACCTTTTTTTATATATTTTTCTTGACTTGTTTTTTTGCAGCTGTATTTAACAACAGTGCTATTTGAGGGCTTCTGGACTGTGGACACAAATCCACCTGAGACAGCCAATCTGCATGCACTGATTTCAGTAAATATTTACACTTCCCACAGGCACCGACTTCAATTAGGGCTCCTTGTTTAGTGAACAAATAAAGTTTACACAAGTGTCAGTGTAGCACTTTAGACTTTTACCTCCGCCTCATGCTGCAGTCAACACAGAACAACACTCTCTCTTGGTTCTTTTTCTTTTATAACAGTCAAAATGATTGTCCAAACTACAGAAGTAAAATATACTTCAAAATACTTCCAGTTGTAATTGTCCACCATGGTATAATGAATAAATCAAACAGTGTTTTTACAGGGATCTGTGTGTTTGTTTTGCCCTTTATCAGGAACAGAACTTTGAGGTAAATAAACTTCCAATGCCTCTGAGAGAATGACATGTTCAAAACTTGTAATCCCTGTAGTGTGATTTCCTGTTGCACTGTGGGAAAAGGAACTCAGGTCACAGTCCATTTCCTTACGAAACAGAAATTAGAATATTCTTAGAAGTAGTATTTGTTGTTGTTCTTGTACTACTATTCTTCTTTACTTTACAAAACCCACAAACAGGCTAAAAACTTGCGCCGCCAGATAAACAGTCAACGCATGAAAATACATTATATATTATGTCATTATTTTCCATTTGTGAAGGGGCGGGGTTTGTTTAACGGTTGAATCCTTGCAACCAATGGCGTGCAGCCGCTGGAATCTTAAACCGAGATACCTTGCTGCATTCATGTGCTGCTTTAATAAAAAAAAAATCACAAACCGAGATGGATGAATCCAGCGTAATATTTGATAAGCTTACTGGTACACATGAAAAACGTCTGAGACATTGAGTTCATAAATAACGTTTTATTTAGTAGTGTTGAATACATTTCATAAGAATTACAATAAACGTATATTGTTCAAGTACAATGATATATAAATTAATTATTACCAATTTAGTTTGGTGTTTATTAGTGTGTCAGCCCTCGGTCGTTATACATCAGGTTTTATCGCTAGTTGAGGAGTAGAAGTGTATAAAACGCTTAAGAGTAGTAATACAAACGCGAATTACATTTTCCGAGTGTGAGTGAAGGCAGCAGATTGGGAGGGTCCTGCGGACGTCGCTTTAGCTTCTTGGGCGCTCACTGTGATTACAGCTGCTACAGCAAAGGAGGAAGCACGGATCCACTGAACGTTTGAGAGTACAGTCTGCGAAAGGTTAGTGAAGGCCTTTTTTTAAATTTTATACTCTTGTCAGACATCTAACCACCAAAAGTCTTTAGGACCACACGAGTCGAGTTTACAGGCTTAGGAACAAACGGATAAATCGACCTCTGTTCTCGCTGGTTAATGAGCAGCAGCAGCAACTCGGCGAGTTGAAACCTGTTACGTGTTGAGAAGTTTTCCTGTTAAAGGTGCTTCAAGAATTTCTGGAGGGTTTTACATAAAAATGTGATGGAACTCTGTCGTGAACCACGAGTAGATGTGTATTTTTTTGAAACAACAGTGAATAGATATAGTATATGCACATTTCTACACCACAAGTCCAGGCTGTGGACTTAAAAACTTTCGCTTATGTAATTTAATAATTATACCTTCTTCAACTGTAGCGTAACCTTCTCCCACGGCCCAGGGACTGACTAAAAGTTTCTCCACTATTTATCTATGGAAACCTGTTTTACTAGTATGAGTCCTTTAAATTACACTTGTCATATTCGAATAGATTTAACAGTAAACAGCAAAGCCGCCGGACTTATTGGCGAGTAACCCTGTTTTGTTTTGTTTTTTAACTTAAAGACGGTCAGTTAAGCTGTCCTCCCTATCTGCCCTAAATAGGCAACCGTGAATACATTTGTTTGACCCGAGGAAATTCCTCTCTCTAAGCCACCACACCCATGTTGTGCTGCCCGGACACTGAAGCACTGACTTTTCTCTCTGCTTTATTTTGGTATGCACTCCAATGCAGGGAAAACACAGCACTAGGTCAAGAAAACCAAAGTCAAATTTGCATAAACTATGTCATGCCTGGGCTTGGATTGATTCCCTCTGTGATAGTCTGCGAACACACTGACACTTTCTGTCTCACTGTCTCCCACTCATTTGCACAGGATGACAGACAGACATGCATGCAGAAAGTCGCTCATCTTACATGGTCTCTCTGTGTTTATCAGTGTGCATGTTTACAGACAAATGTCTGTTTTGTGTTTGTGTTGTGTATATGTTCGTCAGAACTGTATGATGTCATTGGAGCAGCACAGCTAAGTGCTGACAAAGCTGTTCTTGTTTGCAGATAGTGAGTGAACAGAAGTCCAACTGCAGGTGGCTGTGTATGGCTTTTAAATTCTAATTTGTCCTGAGTTTTATAGCCACCATCTGTTATTTACCTGATCATATTGAAGCTACTGGTATGATGTGACTGAAATTCAAACTGTCAACCAAAACGTTTTTTCCCCCAGCTACATTTATTTATACATTTTCATTTGTTTACTTCATTCAAAGATTAGTGCAAACTCACAGTGCAGTTGGAGCTATTATTTCCAACATCTTAAAGAATTTTGTTTAACCTAAACCCTGCCAGTTGGTCAATTGTCAGCTGGCTACACTGTTTGCCTGTACCAGGACTGTTGTACTTAACATTAGCAATTTGCACATAACCATTCTTTTTAGCCCATCCCACCAAGCAATGTTGGTTGAGTTCCATCCCTTTTCACCAAGCCTTCTTGGGCGCTAATGTAATTTAATTTGTCTTGTGCTTCTTCAAACTAACTCCAGGTGCATTACTGCCAACCACCAGGCTAAATTCTGTGCAACTGTTTAACCTGTGTGCCAGAAATTGGGGAACTAAAAAAATGTGATTTGATGCAAAAATAAATTGTGTTCATAGTTAATTAAACAATGTTAATGTCCAAGCCCTGATTAGAAAAACATTTTTTTTACATAAAGTGCAGATATAACGAATGTCCTATTTACTTCTAAGACTTAACCATAGGTTAAAAGTTTGAAATCAGATTTAAGCCATGCTTTTCTGTTTCAGCTGACCATGCATTTTGATAATTAAATGTTAACTGAAACAAATTCAGGGCACACAGAGGTTGCAATTTGCTGTATGTGCAACAAGTTTATGGAGGGTTTTTTTTTTTTCAAACTTGCATCTGCCTGCAATAAAACAACATTAGACCCCAAGTGGTTTCTAATGCTACTGCGAGGTCCATGCAATTATAAAGTAATAAACAAGGAAACACACATTTTCTCTGTGCTTACTGCAGAGCTTAACCTCCAGGGCAACTTTCCCGTATACACCCGCACCCTACCCTTCCTTTTAAATCAGCAAGAGAGCTAAAAAAAAGTATTGCTGTGAAACCCTACTTTAATATACTGATAAGGCAAAATATGTGAGGATCTCAAAAGAAATGAACAGAATGTCAAGGTGAAAGTGGGCACAAATGATTGGCACACTGGTGCCAGTTCTCTACAAGAACCAATTATTGGAGTTGTTCAGCCAAATTGAAAGTAGATCTAGTCAGACAATAAAATTGAACATGTTTTATAACCCAACATAATGAAATATTTACCTAGTCGTCCATCTCTATAAGATATTCCAAACTTAAATAAACAATAACTTCTCATTTAAATTCAGAAACACAATCTTCCGTGTATGTTCCATCTCCTGCATGCACGCTCTCCTTTTCTTTTGGCGGTTATGAGGTCACCTCAGAAGACAGTTGAGCGGGTCAGCACAAAAGGAAAACCATAATGGGTTAGAAACTCTCTATTTTTTTTCCACAGTAGCCAAAGGCCATACCCTGACACTGCCTCATGTCGATCCTTTGCTGGTCACTGACCTACTGAAAGCATGTGTTTTGTGCTTTCCTTCCATTCCTGCCAAGGGAAGTCCTCATATAAAACCAACTCTTATGGACAAAAGTTCTATTGTTTAGATGTTTCGCCACCTTTCAGCTCTTAGTCATGTTTTACGGTAAGCTAGTGGTTTATGAATTGTTAAAGCTATAGGTGCTTATCAGCCGAGGTGTTTAAACATAATGCCGTACAGTATCCCGTCTTAGATAAGTCGCCTGGAGGTTTTTCCGCAGAGGCCAGTAAATGCCTGATGTTTCCTTTAAGCCTGTAAACAGTGAAATGCACAGGTTAGTCTTTAGGTTGTTTGTGTTTTGTCGTCTTCCAAGGGAGGCTAACTGTACACTGCAGGGTCTACAGTACAGCAGTGTGAAGATAAAACCCTCTGACAAACGGAAATAATGAGTGGGAGAATTCCCTGTTGTAGTCTTGTCCTTTTAGAGACTTCCTAAAAAACATGAGTTTTGTTTCTAGTCAGATATGAATGGGGAACAAATTAGGGTTGCTGCTTTGACAACATGTTTGAGTCATTTCCCTGGTCTGATTTATTTTATGTTAAGCAGATGGTTATGTTTTGAAATTAATGAAAAAGGTCAATGAGAGTAAGCATGTCTGGGTTTTGGGTTCCCAAATCCCCATCCCTGACCACACACACTCTGCATGGAGCTGTGAGGCACAGATGGACTGGGTGCACTGAGGAAGTGTTTGAGTTGGTGACTCCCTCAATCTTGTGTTTGTGTGTGTGTCAGCTTCGGCTTTCAGTGGTGCTGCTTATGTGAGTGAGCAAAGAGGAATGCAGCACCCTAAGGATACGCAACATTAGCTCCCTGACGGTGACGTCACACTGCAACACAGGAAGAGAGGCAGCAAAAAGAAAGAGATGAGATGAGGACAGAGTGTGAACAAGAGCCTGGAGGAGGAGGTGATGAAGAGAGGGAGTGACTGCATTAAAAAAACGGTGGTGCATTCATGTTGGCTGCCTCCCTTGGCTCAGATTTGATGGAATGTGTGCACATTTCATAATTTCAGCCAATTCTAAAGAGTAAGGACAACTGTCTCGACAAATCCTTACGATTAACGTCAGCCAATTCTAAAGAGTAGGGACAACTGTCTCGACAAATCCTTACGAGGCTCATTCCCAAAGACAGTTACTGACTCAGATTCATTGATCTATTGATTTAATAGTCATGGAATATTAATCACCACCTTACTTATGACACTCTGGAGTATTTTCCGAGTGTATCTGTTTCAGGGCTCGTGCTCTAACCCACTCGTGTTTCAGTTGTGACACCACTTTTCTTTGCGTCCTTACAGCAGAGACTCGGCAGAGAGTGGTGGATAAAGGGATAATTCTGTGTGATATTTCTCTCTGTCCTCCTCCCTCTCTCCAAGCTGAGCTGTGCACACTGTGATAAATTGGGCTGGGGGAGTCTCACTGGCTCTGTCCTATTTTTGGGCTCCAGCTAGGTTCTCCGCTTGTAGCTGCTTCTCCAGCCTGGATCCTGAGTTGCCACTTCTGTTCTCAAGTTAAATTGGACCTTGAAAATTTGACCTTCCAATGAATTCCTCTGTTCAGGCCTGAAGCAAAAAGAGGTCCTACTTTGTTAGGACTTGTTAAAGGGGTTCTATTTCTTTCAGCCTCTAAAGTAAAGCTTAGTGAAACTGCACCAATTATTAGTCAATATTATTCTGCTAAATCTTACTATATACAAAACCACCACATTAAGAATGTAATAGAAAACTAGTATTATGTATATGCTGTATATATCATGCTAAATGCTGCATTATTGAGAGCTAACATTGAGAGTACACATTCAACTGTTTTATTTTTACCACTATAACAGGAAATAGCCCAAAGCAGCTGCTGTCCCAGCCTTGACTCACGCTGATGCTCAACTCCCATCGTCTCTCTCACTATTCTCGCACACACACACACACACACTCCACACATCTTCACTTTAGATAATTTTGTAGTAGCAATGAAGTCTCATTCTGTATTGGGTACAAATATATTTTAATGTATTGTAAAAATATATTGCCCATCCCTATTTGTTTGTAAGGTGTTTATATACTGTATATCTAATGGGTTGTTTGCTGGCACTGATGACAAGGGTTTTATTTTTAATGCAGTAGTTTTCAAAGTTTGAAGGGCGTGTACCCCAGCACGTCAGGTGAGCTGTGAGGCTACTGGAAGCGAGGCCCTCAGTGTTAGACCATCAAACCCCTGCTTTATTGTTATTATGTCAGTAAGATGTTTAACAATACATAAATATGTAAATATATAGAAACCGCAACTATTTAACAAATGGCTTTAACCAGTGTTTACAGCCATGGTCGGAAATTAATTTTGTATTTAACTGTTCTGTCCTTCACTGCATGTTTTCATAGGTCTTGGGGTGGATGCACATTAACATTTATGATGGTTTGTGTGTGTGAGAGAGAGAGAGAGAGAGAGAGAATCCAATGAATGGCTCTGTAGTAAGTACAGCTCACCGCTGCCCTCTACCTTAGATGAACCGTTGTTTATCCTCTATATTTTGTTCGCAAGTCTAAGGGAGAACTGCGGCTTATTTGAAAAAGTGTTTCTGAAGTTTGTTCAAAAATAATTGACCATCAGAAGCCATAGCTTTTAGCAGCAAAAAGAAGGATTGCTTTTATAATCAAATGGTAAAAAATCTTTTCTACACATAGTTGACCTGATGACCCCACTATGGCTGACTGCCATGGTAAAATAAACGTAGGGAAATCACTGTAGCACTTATCTGATCTTATCAGGCCTTTTGTGGACTCCAGCTCATGTCACTTGCTGTTTCTGACTAAACATACCTAAATGTCTGTGTGAGCTGACGGAGGAGAGATGTGTGTGTTATTGTTACTGAAGGCATCACATCAGGATAAGGAAGAGCATTAAGTAAAGATAATAATGGAGACCCATCTGGCAGCAACTGAAACTGTGTGTTGATGATTTCAACTTTGACCTCATTCCAAACAATTGTTAAGACCTAATAACGGTTCATCAAGATTAACAGAACTTTTATGTAACTTGCAAACAGAAAATAGAGCGAGGACTGGGGGAGTCGATCTGTGTGTGGTTAGAGGGTTGTGTGTTTGAAGTTGGGTGAGACATTCCTCATGTCTTATGTCCTTCCACATTTTTTCCACACAGGCCACATTGTTTGTGTGACTATTCAGTGACCCTTTATAGTACATAATATGGAAAGTAGTTTCTCATTTGTCATTTCAAAACTTTTTTCGCTAACATTTTGTGGAGTTTTTATGTTTGTATTTTGCTTAGGGAAAAGTACATCAAGAAAATAGTTGGTTTATTTATTTGTTTTGAGTGAGTTGACATGTTGGTGTCAAATAATTTTCCGTATAAAAGAGTACACTAAAAGGTATTAAACATGTGGATTTTTTTCTTTCAACCAATGCAGGACAGTTATCTTGTTGTTTATACCGATGCTGTTGTGATATTTTTAGATATTCTAAATTATTTTTGGCAATGTTGACCTTAATATGACCTTTTGTAAATATTAACTTGGTGATAAGAAATGCTGAGATATAGGTCAGACCACACAAAAAGTTACAAGAACCACCTGCTGCTGCAAAAAAAAAACTCAATCAGTCGAGCAAAAAGTACTGTGGTGGTCCTAATTTTTTGTGCACAAAAGAAAGACACACAGACACTCAATGTTTGTATCCTAACTTGTCAGTAATTGTGTTTTCATCAGTAGATCGGTTTATTTTTGGAACAACTTTTCATGTTGTTTTTCTCAGGTTGGTTTCAGGGATGTTGTTGATCCAGTTACACTCTCTGTGTTTACTGCATCCGTCTTATACCTGCTAAGAATAAAACAATCTTCTGAGATCGTTCGGCTCCTGTTCCCTCCTGCAGAGTCTAATGAACCAGATGGGTTAATGTGTTATAACTGATGGTGTGACTCAGAGAAATGAGGTAGAAATGAGTGTACGCTTCTGCATGTGCCAGGAATAAGAACTTTGTCCTTTTCTTCCACACACAGGCGGGGACAAATTATGCAAGAGAAGCTTTTTTTTCTTTTTCTTTTTAAATCATCCTTAGACACGTGTGAACATGGGGTTTCGCCACAGTTTTACAGCCCTGGTCTCGAAGGTTAGCTAGTGCTATGATTCTAAACCTCTCCTGTACCTGTGTCTTGTGAGAGGGCCTCTGATGTGTCTGATATGTTTTCGAGATGATTTTTGTTTTTTTTATATATCATCAGAAAGGTGCCGTGATATGTGTTGGTTATTTGTGATGCAAGGATTTGCCTATGGGTTTTTTTTTTCAATTAAAATGAATGCATTCTAGCCCTAATATATACATATGTGTATGCTGTACATACATATGTGACAGATCTGCATATGAGCAGAGCAGTGGAGAGAAATGCAACACACAGTCTGGACAGTAGATCAGCTTTTATTTTCTTTTAATTATCTCCCTGTAATTTGTTATGATAAACAAACATTTATAGTATGTTATTTAAACCGACCTAACAGTCCAAGGGTGGGTGGCCCCTGTTATATTGATTTATCATGTATTATCCTCATAGCAACAGAATATCATAACCCTTCTACAGTGCTCAGACTCAGTCCCTGCTCTTATAAAGCCTCACACAGTGTGACTCTCCTCCAGTTGCTCACGTGCTGCTTCACACAATCTGAGAGTTGTTTGACTGGAGTTTTTATTTTTTTTAAAGGGACAGGTTTCTGAGACTGGTGTGAACTCAATATCTCAGATTTAATGGGGGAAGAATTTTAGAGGAGAGATGTCCTAAAAATAACAAACCTCAAGTTGATCCTCTTTCTGAGAAAATGCAGTAGAAAAATTGTCTCTCTTATGAGAAAAATTGATAAATTTTTTGGCCAATTTCTGACTTACTTCCATTGACAGTAAGAAATTATGAAAACAATTAACCTAAAACTGCACTTAGTGACCGGTTCTCACTTTTTACTTCAACATCTGTCAAGTACTTGGTGACTGGAGTGAGGTACTAAATGAAAATGGGTTCCACGCTCTCAGCTTTCTGACAAATTAAATCCTTTGGAATAGGTCTGTGTAATAGGTGTCAATCCATCGAGTGGACTCAGCATGGACATTAAATTAAAGTTACTTGTCAAACGGCAGTTTAGTCAAACTAATTGCTGCTTTAGGGTTAGCCGACAGCAGGTATCCTGGCATAACACGACACGAAACAGCTTTGGTAATGATATGTCTGGGGGAAAAACACTGATCTCCCGTTGTTAGCTTAATTTTCCTTGAACTGGGCATGGTTGGCTGGTGATGGTGTCGAATTAGATTTGTTGTTCTGAGCAACTTTTCAGTGGCTCGCCCAGGGCTATCCTTGCTTTAAAATATATTTCACACCTAAAGTTTGTAGCTTTTCTTGATCTCTGTAAAGTACTTCCAATCTAACCACTTGTTAGCTTTAGCTTCCATGTGTGAGTTTTCTCTCCTGTTCCCAGACACATGCACTGTCTAGTTGATCGGCGCCGTGTTTTTACTGTTTTCACCATTATTCCCCCAAAACATGGTATGCTGCCACTCCCTGAGCAGGCTGCATGCTCTGAGAGAGATTGTCGTCAGTACACTGCATTATTTCATTCCTTACAAGGTCTGCAGGAATTGTCCCATTTTCCTGAAGCGTTATGGGACAGCACTGTGGTAGTGTTGTGTGTTTGTGTCCGTCCAACAGTGCTTTGGTTCTGACAACATGATGAATGGAGCAGACGCAGGCTGCTATCGCACAGAGCAGGTGGAGCTCAGAGACAAACTCACACCACTCTGACCTGATTTAATGTTGAAAAATTGAACACCTGTCTTTTTATGGTTGTGCTGGAAAAATGGCGGTGTTTGTGGTGAGAATGGGTAAATCATTGTAAATTCCTGTTGCCCCAAATCATGTTCTGGGACATCCGAGGTGTCACATTCGGCTTTTTAAGAAATCTCCGATCTGTGGTTACACATTTTTTAAGTTTAGTTGTGGGAGATTTTTTTTTTCCAATGCATTATGTAGTCTCTTGAATAATTTAAAATCTATTCATAGATCTCTTTAACTGTACTTTTCAGACTATAAGTAATTTTTCTGTAATTTGGCTGACTTGTATGGTCAAATTATCTTTGGCCACAAGAGGGCAACGTCTACACTCCTGAGTCGCTGCTACTAAACAACTGAATTTTGATAATTTTCTGAATACATTTTAAAAATAAAAATGTAACAAAAATGAATGAAAATGCATAATTGCTTCAAAAATTTGAAGTGTTTATTTATGATTAATACTCATCATAAAGAATGAAAGAATGTGTTTTGCTACGTTAACCATTGATCATAAGCAACATACGTTTCTTTATCTTTTCATTACATCAACCATTGATTAAAACCAACATACTATAATAATACATTTCTGAAATCTGTGTGGGCTGCAAAGACACTGTCAGTGGGACAAATAAGGGGTTTAAAAATAATAACCATTATTGTTGTTATTATTATTATTATTACAACGCAACGTGTGTGCAGCACAATGTTCTGGAGTTTCCTCTCACTGCTTTTCCAGTCCAGTGCTGAACTCTTATCCTGACTGTTTTGAACCTCACCATCATGACATAGTCAAGGAAAAGGAAGTAGGCGCGGCTCAGAAGCGGTTTTATCTTTTTTTTAAAAAAGTGCTTACTCCATGTGTAGTTCACTGTGGTTGTCAAAAGTCTGTATAAAAAATGTCTTCTGTTTTACTTTATATTGTCAATATGAACTTAGTATGACATTGATTGTATATATAGATTCTACAATTTTTTCCCAGTAAATTATTTCTAGGAGAATAATTATAATTTTTATGTAAAGTCCATTCAGAAAAATATATTTTGTGAACTGACTTGAATTAACCGTGTTATTTTAAATGCACGTCCTGTCGACTGTTAGTTCCCACAGACTAACTGAAGTGTTTTCTGGTTGTAGATGGCAGCCATCAGGAAGAAGTTGGTGATTGTTGGTGATGGTGCCTGTGGGAAAACCTGTCTCCTCATTGTCTTCAGTAAGGACCAGTTTCCAGAGGTCTACGTCCCCACTGTGTTTGAGAACTACATCGCTGACATTGAGGTCGATGGCAAACAGGTACTGTCTCCTTTAATACTATGATTGTTTTATTCCATAACGAAATCCAAATCCCTGATGGTCAACGTGTGTTTCTGTGGTTTAATTAGGGCTGTAAATAAAACAGTTAACAAGTTTGGATTTCAGAATCTGATCATGTGATTGTCCGTTGTTAACTCAATAACACTGTTGCAGTGTGATGTCAACGAGCACGAAGTCACAGTGGCAGTTCAGTAATACAACACTGAGTAACTTGTAGGTTTTTTTTTGTTTTTTGCTGTATCATATTATAGTTGTTACAGTAGTTAAAATATAAGGGTTTTTTTTGTTTTTTGCTGTATCGTATTATAGTTGTTACTGACGGCTTCTGTACAAACAAATGTTCACTGTGATCATTGTCCATTTTATTCTTATTAAGCTGCAAAACCTCCTGACAACAGGAACAGGATCCTGTGTACTCTCTCACTCTCTCTGTCTTTCTCTCTTCATGACTAATGTCCTACTTCCTGTTTCCTGAGGCACAGAGCCTGGTGTTGGTCTTCTGGGTTGTTTGACTCCCCTCATTACTGTAACATCAGTCAGGGGTCACAGTTTAACCCGCCGCCCACTCCGGGTCTTTGGTTTTATTTATTCATCTAAAAGAACACAAACTGAAAGACCAAACGTTTAGACAGCGGTGTTGGTTAAAATAGTCTGTAGAAACTACTGACTTCTGAGAGACACCTTGTGGCGAACAGAATTATGACAACGGATTTAGATCCTGGAGTTTGTCATGTCGTCGTGTGGAACATTACATGTGTACAACTGTGACATGTTTTCTTTTAATGTGCCCACATCACGCTGAGATCAGAAGCTGCCAGATTTGTTTCCAATTCTTTAAAAACACATTAAAATCAAAATGATGTGGACAATTTTTGCAGAATATTTTTGTAATCCATTTCCCAGCAGTGCAGCAGCAGCTGCCAGTTTTCCAGTTCCACCAGTAGTGTAGATCAAAATCAACAAGACAGTGAATACACCAGGATTACAGTCGCTGGTGTTTTATAGGAACTTCCAAAGTGAAAAAGAGAAACAGGACAAACGTGTGAGACTGTGACAAGTTTAGGTCAGATTAAAATGTTCCTCCACTTAGCTTAGCCCATTTTATTTTTGCAAGGTATTGTTTTATGTGGAGCAGGTCAGGCACTGAGGGACTGTTGACAGTTTTGATTAACGGTACAAGACAATGTGGAAGCCACTCTGACCTCTGGGTGGGTTTTTTTGTTGTTTTTTTTATCCTGATCAGTGGAGGAATTGGGACATTTTTCATGTCCTGAAATTTATTTTTATATTGTGGTGCATTATATCCATATTTTCAAATCAATATTTAAAAGTAGCACAGCAGACATAAATGTGTGGACAATAAGAATGTAAATACTTGAACAAAGATTTATGAGATGTCGATTTATGAGATGTCGATCATGAAAGTAAAAATTGAACAAAGATTTATGAGATGTCGATCATGAAAGTAGTTGAAAAATAATTATAAGGTGACTGATTTGATGACAGGTAGTTAAAAAGAAAACAGAAAACGTGAAAAAAATATACCAAAAGAGACTTGAAGGAAGATATAGTGACAAATTAAGATTAAGTTTTGATTTTGATTTTAGTAAAACATAAGGTAGGTCGTTTGTTAAAACTTCACATCATTTATTCTGTATTCTCCCTCGCTCCACCAGGTGGAGTTAGCCTTGTGGGATACGGCAGGTCAAGAGGACTACGATCGACTCAGGCCTCTCTCTTACCCTGACACTGACGTCATCCTCATGTGCTTCTCCATAGACAGTCCTGACAGTTTAGGTAAGACGTCTTCACTGCTGTGTGCTATCTTGGAGTCTCATTATAAAAATCCTTTCAAAGTCTTACAAAAGCCTAAACATAAGAATGAGGATTTTATTCTTGTAATGTTTTTAATTAGTATCATTTTTTCCAATTCTAACGAATGCCTCTGGGAACAGAACCAGCAGTGTTTTTGATTGGGTTCTAGCATCTTGATGAATTTCTGCAAAAAAAAAAAATCAGTTCCAAAGGCATCTAACCTGGTACTAATAGGATGTACCTGATGATGATGATAACGTTATAATGAATCAGAGGTCGTGGTATTTTTACTACACAAAGCACAACACACTCACTGCCAAAGTCACACTGAGGCAGAAATCTAAAGATGAACATCCTGGAGTTTAAAGTTTTTTGGACCTGTAGTTCATTTTTATTTTTCACATTTTCATCTGTCAGTACAGGGAACCAGAAATTCTTTTTCTAAAGTGCATTTCAAACTCAGAGCAGCAGCAGTGATGACTCTCATTTTATGTGTTGTTTCACTGAAACTTTTCCTTCAGAGGTGCAGAGTGTGGAAAATGACACAGTTGAAACGGTGTTTTCTCGAGTGTGTGATTAAGTTATTGGTATTCACATTTCTGCTGCTGCCTCCCAGACAAACATTACTGACTTCACGTTATGGTTTCTTATTCTGATAATTAAAAAAAGTCATAGATGCTTGACGCGCAAATGTTTGAATTATTAATCTGGAAACGAGAACTGAAACTTAATTTCTATAAGTTGATAAAGAAATTGAATTGTCATGTCATAGTTAATTTCATTAATTTTCATATCTACATTTCCAAATTGTGCAGATGAAAGGCAGCGTATTTTGCAGATTAGTGCATTTCACAGAAATAAAGCTGCGGCAAAAATTGCAATTATACACGCAAGTCTGTGTATACATATATATATGTATATGTGTATATTTGCATGTACATCTATTACTATACATACATACACATATATGTACATACATATACACTCATACATACATACTCTAAATACATACATTTACACATACAGTTTATACATGTGTATGTGTGTATATATGTATGTACATATAGTACTATATATATATATTGCTATACATACATACACATATGTACATAAATATATATACACTCGTACATCTCTATACAGCATGTGTAAAAGAGGGAGACAAGACTGGAAGTACAAATATCAAACATAACAAAGAATAAAGGTCGAGGCCTCAGATGTTTTTTCCAACATAAACTCTCCCTCCAGAACAAACAGCCCTGAAGTCTGGTCCAGACTGCAGGGCTCCTGACCTCTCTGTTTATTTCTGTCCAGTGACAGGGGAAATGACACAGTTCTCTAAACCATGTCCTTGTAAGGAAAGAACTCACTCTGCAGTCAACTCAAATAGTTTATTTTCCTTTCATAATTCCAGAGAACATTCCTGAGAAATGGACACCTGAAGTAAAACACTTTTGTCCCAACGTTCCAATCATCCTTGTGGGCAACAAGAAGGACCTGAGGAATGATGAACACACACGCAGAGAGCTGGCCAAGATGAAACAGGTGTGTGTTTCTGTCCACCTTTACCCTCTGTGTACGAACACTTCAGTCATTTAACACATTGAACACATTGACCTCCAGGAGCCGGTCAAGTCTGAGGAGGGCAGAGACATGGCCAACCGCATCAATGCCTTTGGTTACCTGGAGTGTTCCGCCAAAACTAAGGACGGCGTGCGGGAAGTGTTTGAGATGGCCACTAGAGCGGCGCTGCAGGTCCGCAAGCGTAAAAAGAGGGGAGGCTGTCAGGTGCTGTGAGAAGTCAGGAGTTTGACTCAACAACTGAGGCAGAACTCCGGCCCACCCAGATCAACATTAGGAAAAAAAAAAAAAAACCTTCCATTCAGGGGCGTTTGTGGACAACACTTAATTTCACTAAGACGCCACAGGCAGGTGTAGAGACGGACACAGATCTTTAAAAGCTAAACTTTTCTTTTTTTTTTTTAATTTGTCTACTTTGCTACTCTCACTCTGTTTGCTTTCCTACAACTTTCCGTGTGTGTGTCTATAAATGTATGTTTATATTTAAATATGCAGTTACTTTACAAACACATACAGCCCTGCGTCTATGTGGTTGTACATGTTTACGGACACTGGTAGTTTAGCTGTCAGTGTGGAACACCTGCTGCTCTTAAAACCCTGCACACACCACTCCACCTCCGTACACACCAGCTTCAGTCAGCATCCGTCGTCTAACGATACACCCCGTGAGTCCTGCTTCTTCAAGTGCTGAGTCTGCACATTTGTTATTGGTCTGTTTCTAACCCCAAAAAAAGGAATACATTTAGTCACGTTCTCGCTGCGTCCCCTACATAAAGGAAAAAAAGAAAAGCAAGAGAGTTTTGTAACGGTGACTAACACTGAAGACAGTGGTCAGCAGCAGTGGACAGAGAGACACTGTCCCACTGGCACTGAAAGACCAACTTCAACAACTTCACCACAAAAACCCTCCGCCCCACACAAACTAGTCTGCTCTCTTTGGCACATCCATCTTCAGAGTCCAGTTCATCTAGTAAAATACTTCAGTTTGTGAAGTTAGGAAAAATTCTGTAGTAAACACTTTAGCTTTAGTGATAAATAATAAACACTAATTCAACATTTTAGGAATATTACTACAATATTACTTTTTGGCACCCCACTTTAAATGGGTATGTCGAGTCCGTCCTTGTGGACACTTCTACAGCATTTCATTGAACAATAATCGTTTGCCCACTCTGGAACCAATTTTATAAAAAATGTGGATTTGAAAGTCATTTACATTTGCTAGACCGCCTTGCAATAGCTCTGTGCCCTTTCAGGATGCCTATCCCCACTTTGAGAACCAGATCTAAAAGCACCTTGAAATGTCTGTGGCTAAACACTTATTTTTTATAGAGATGGAAACTGAGACATGATGAACAAAAATGACCAAAAGCACATCCTGCAGTGGAACTGACCTGAGGTGTTTTCCACAATGATGGCCGCTGTAGCCCCCTGACTCCATGTTAAATCAGAAGAAGCCCCTGATCGCACAGTAGGTCTGTACTCACTGGTCACAGCCATGGTGTAAAACGATGAGATGGCTGCAGGTTCATATTGGACCTGCATCCATGTTCAAAGAGAACATGTGGATGATGAAACTGCTTTACTAATAAGAGTGGGATGTGTGTAATATTTGGATGAGATAAACACTAATAAAGTATTTTTGAAATGCTATGAATTGGCTGTCTTTAATGAAACGCATCTAAATGCGCTGCTACATTTCCATCAGCAAATTCAGGAAGGTCATTTTTTACCTTTTTATTTCTTCAATAGAAGTAAATGATCAGCCACAATTTCTGCCTCTTAGGTTTTGGCTTTTTTTTATGCCAACACTTCACATCCAAACCTGTTAACATGTTGTTAACCTGTTATCGGTTTGGTCATTTAGTCTTACGATTCATCTGTCACAAGTTTTTTTTTAAATGCTTATGTATAAAATGTATTTTAAAAGGTTTTTTTTTTTTTTTATTGAAGGGTTTTGAATCACAATCAGTAAGGAGCTGGCCGGAGTGATGGCCATGTTAAATTACTACAGAAAAAAAAAGAATACTGTCAAAGTGAACTTTTCGTCAAACCTTTTTTGACCAAAAATGTCATGAAAACTTAACATTTTGACAGGAAATTTTATAAATTAAAATTTCAAAAAATGTTCTCTAAACACCCTAATTCGACGAGAAACATGCAGGAAAAGATAACATTTTTTAAAATAATTTTACAGGAATTCTCATCAAAACGTTTTGGTTTTTGACCAAAAATTGCATGAAAAGTTCACATTTTGACAGAACCTTTTATAAAAAAAAATTGTTCTCTGAATGTCATAATTTGATGAGAAACAGAGAGAGAGAGAGAAAAAGATACCATTTTGAAAAATAATTTTACATGATTTTTGTCAATTTATTTTAGTTTTTAACCAAAAATGACACAAAGTTCACATTTTGACAAAACATTTCATAAAAAATTGCAATATATATATTGTTCTCTAACTGCCCTAATTTTATGAGAAACATACAGAAAAACATACAATTATGAAAAAAAATTACATTATTTTTGTCAATTCTTTTTAGTTTTTGATAAAAAATGACAAAAAAGTTAACATTTTGACAGAAGGTTTTATAGAAATATTGTTCTAAAAATTCTAAAAATGTTTACTAAAATGCAAGATTATGTCCTAAA